ACGTTTTTTTTTTTTTTTTTTTATTTTTTTTTTTTTTTTTTTTTTTTTGCCTTTTTTTTTTTTTTTTTTTTTTTTTTTTTTTTTTTGTTCCTCATCTACGGGTTTGAGTTTCAAGATCCTTCTTTACAAATGTAGAATTAAGTTGTTCATAAATATCTAAGATGCAGTATTACTTGCAAGGTGAACTACCAACGCGCAAGACACGGCGCATTTTTTTCTAATTGTGTTTCCTACGCCAAAACGTAAAGCCAAATATAATTCCACATATATTCATGATTTGGCCACGTATTCAATGCCAGATTTAAGGGGGATGGCGTGCCTCTTACTTTAACGTTTTGTTTCCCAGATGTATTTTCTCCCCCATCCCCACCCCCACCCCCCAAAAATAAAATAAAATAAAATAAATAAAGAGGATAAAAGAAAAAAATCTATGTGAAATCTCAACAGGGGCTGGCCCTCTCTTATACGTAAATGAGTGTGTGACAAAAAGATAATAATATCAATTGAAACAAGCAAAACGAAATCCAAGACTTTTTACCGTCACTGTGCCCTACATATGAGAATAAAATTGTCTTCCTCCACTGTTTTATATCCAATGTTTATAACCACGTCAACTATCAAACAGCTTTGTTTTAAGGTGACACGATGAATGTCTTCTCTCTATGTCGAGGTAGATTCTACTGTATTTTGAATAAGACCGGTGGTAGGTTGTGCCTCACGATAACCATGACTGAATTTTTACCGCGTTCGCTTTTCATTTGTGTTGCACCAGGATCGACACGCTTATCTATTCCATGTATTAATTGGAGGTTAATTTTCACGAGACTGGACACAGGTAACTGTTAAGTCTCTATCTGTAGTTAAAAAAAACATTATATTAAGATATCAGTGGCACATTTTATTTTTACAAACGGGAAAAATAAGTACGTTTTCAGTTTAAAGACCAAAATAAAGTCAACTGGTAAATTATTGCATTTGGATTGTGTGGAAAATTAAAAATGCAATCTTCCTTGAATTTGATTTAAAAAAAAATTTTTTCTCAATTACTTTATTATTCGAATTGTCTTTTTATCTAAATCTTATTGACTAATTGATCATTCAATATGGACATGAAAGTTATGGAAATTTCATAACAGTTAAGTACCACACCCTCGCGTTCTAACGTTAGACAAATTCTTTCGCTTAAAATCAGTGGTGCCACAAACAAAATGCAATAAAAGCAATGGAATATGAGTTATTTATATCTATAAAAAAAAAAAAAACTTTTCCGATTCGCTGGAACATATTAATAAAAGTGATCTTTACAGTACCTCTCGAGGGGAGGGAGGGGGCGTACACCGGGGCTCTCGTCAAAGAGCCCTTCTCAGCCTTTTAGCTGTTACAAAATGCTTCCGAAGAGCGGATCGAGAAATGATTTATAATGAGAAGAAAATTGTTTTATTTGTTTGGGGAAATTACATTTGCTAGCTCAAATATGTATTATTTTTATCAGATAATAAGAATTAAGATCACCGCTATTTGAAATCTCTGATGTGAACATCACTTCCGGACAGCCTTATATTACTGCAGGCAAACTAATTTGCATATAAGAGAAAAAATGCATTTTTTCTGGTTTTGAGTCATGTACTGTTTTTATAACTTTTAAATAACGATGTCCATTTACCCTTATAAATTACCAATCATTTGATTGACACGCCCTGTTTATGAATTTATTTATATAAATTATAAACCTTCATATCACAGACGTGAATCACGTTATCACGTCCAAGTCAAAACATTGTTAAACTAGCGCCAATAACTGCAGTGAAGAATGTAGGTCAATATTGCCTGTACATCTCCCATAGCATTATTGATTTTTTTTCTGGAGTGGAACATTTTAGGGAGAGGCGGACGAGAGAGAGGAGTATCCATTGAACTGCAAAAGAAAAAGAGAGCGTGGAGCTGTTATAATCAGAGTCTTTTACAGTATCAAAGAAGAGTATAAAAATAACACACTTTTCCAGTTTCACTGTGTAGCACTTTGCAGACAATATGATAATTCTCTATGCCCTCTGTCTCTCCCTAACAATTTGTTGACCACGTTAACTGTTCAACTCCCGGCGAAGATGAACCAGCCAACGATAGTTTTGACACGCAGGTGTAGGAGCCGCACCCTGAAGTTCAGATCTTAATAGCAATTAACCCTTGCGGTTGCAAGTAACTGGAAACGACAAGTGTATGCCATAGTGTAGATGTTTGTTTCAAATTATCTGCGACGCTCAGGGTGATAAGCCGGGATAGGGGCGAGACGGGAGCAAGGGGGGGGGGCGGTTAACCCTTTCACAACCAACTGCGTCACCCCTGAGCAGTGGGCGAATGCGTTTCCCTAAGCACTAACCAGTCAATTTATTTAAGAATCATTCACTATTATTATGCATTCTCAAACTTTACTTAGAGTGTTTTTTGTAACTCATGGGGTATATTTGTAACCCATGAAAGCCACTTTTTATTTATCCGAGATGCGTCAAACATTCTATTATTTAGCGTGATCCGTGAAGTCTGAGCAAGGGGTGGAAGCGTGAGGAGGGGGGGCACATCGAAATCGAATGCGTTCCATCAGCACCATAGAGTCTACCGCAGCACTATTTCCACCCTGGTCCGGCAACCCAAGGCCGTCACTTAGTGGTGAGTTGTTAACAAGTCAGGAAGACAGCACTAGGGACACTCAGGTAAACTGACCATTAGTGATGGGGTCATCAGTTGGCCACAATACAGAGGTCTTTGTCAGTAGGTTATATTTGTATTTTTCATAGATTTTATATCAATGAAAAGTTTATATATGATATCAATCATTACCTGTGATCAGACATGAAATTTTGATCAACAGATTCTTGTAGCTAAGAAAGCTAGTTTTTGAGATTAGTGTTTTATTTTTCAGAAACCAAAGGGGGTGAGTTAAACCCCCCCCCCCTCTAAATCTGCCACTGCCTATTTTCTTAACTACTGAATTTTCCATGATTTGACATTTTGAATCATTGACATATATGTTGATTTATTATTATGATTATTATTATTATTCTAGAATTCATTTTGATGACTACAGTTCAGCATCACTTATGGTTCACTTGTCTGGAATTGCACAAATTTAGCTCTGATAAAAATTACAAACAGGCTTGAAATACAGACACTGTTGTATGCGTTTATGTTGGATAACGTGGTAATACTACTTTCCTTATTTGTGGTCAAAATATTTACATGTAAATCACTATGAGAAAATCCAATGCTGACAACAATAATATTTATAACCAGTTTCAGTAATTTAATTTTCACTTGTTGCTTGCTCAGTTACATTCTAATGATATGTGGGGAATTACACTTTTTAGTATAAAACTAAGGCAATGGCTTCATGACTTAACGTCTTATAAAAATAAGCTTGTTGATTATTCTGATTAATTGGTCAGAAAAGTCAACAAGCTTACTTTACCTCTTAAGACTTTATGTAACATAGTATCTGGAATAACGGACTACAGGCCCGTTGCCAGGGGGTGTTTGGGGGGTTCGAAAGAACCGCCCCTTTTGCAGGGAAAAGGTCCACTCTGGGTAAAATTTGATGTAGGTACGTGATGTTTTTATGGAAAAAGGTCCACTTTTTCAGAAAAAGAACCCCCATTTTGAAATTGCTGGCTACGGGCCTGGACTACAATAAAAAGTTATCATGTAAAATACCGAAATTGCCTGTGAATTATTTAATGTCTCTGACCCACTGATACAGAATGTTAGGTGGACTTGTGTTCAGTTGATAAATTAAAATATTGAAATTGTGCTGACACAGATGTGACTTGTTGATGGCTGGTCAGAAAACCTGGGAACACTGATAATACAATGACTTCTTTCATACAGTACTACATCTACAGGGATAATTCCTGTCTTTTTCATTTTTCCATTTGTCTTTCTTCCTTCCTTAAGATTTTGAGCTCTTTCAACATCTGACTTGCCTATCGGTCATTGAATCTATTTCTTTAAAGTCTATAAAGAGCCATCTTCTTTGTCTGGTATTATCAAATATTCATTTGGAGTTTGATATTTTGGTGAATAAAGAAAAAGATGTTTCTTTTTCAATTCTTTATTTGGTATCTAAGTCATTGGATATATAAAAATTTCATACATTAAAAATTAAACAATGTAAATTCTTTTCATCTTATTAAATTGCTAGCATAATATCATGTATTTGACTAAGTACAATTCTTTTTCATATATGATCTATCATAGACAATGTATCTGATCATGAAAGTAATTGATCTGATGAATACTGAACCTACACTGTATAAAAGTAATAGTTATTCATTAACAGTGAACAATTAAATCAATAACAGTATAATGATAAAATATGATTGTTTTTCAATTGTCCAAAAATAGCAATGTTATGAGGCGTTAGTTTTTTCTGTTTTTTATCATCTGAACACATTACTGAGAGTTGTAGAAAGGATTTTTCATAATTGTTGTGATGACACCTGGCGTGGTCCTTTTTATGCCAGTATTCCATATACATCATATTGTCAGTGATGATGGTGATATTCCGCAGTAAAAGTGTCATCATCTTTATGGTAGTATTCTGTTCTTTCTTCCTCATATATGTGATGGGTTATGGCATTATTGTTTGTCAGTTTATTTTCCATGTGACTTATTTCATCCGTCTCCCCCTCTAAATCTAGAACATTGTTGGGCCCACTTTCACTGTCAAAAGTTCCATGTACATTATTTGAATCATGTTTTCTTTCGTTGTGCGTTGTTTCTTGTGTTCTACAATTATTTCCTTGACTGAATTCTGCTCCACATTTGTCTGGTTTCTCACAAGTGTGCATTCTTTAAAGGCAAATTTTGATATAAACTCTATGTCACAGTACTTGCATGCATCATGCTTTTCTGCAGTATGAATGGTTTCATGGACAGTGCAAAAACCTTGAGTAAAAGTTTTGTCTCCAGGGTAAGTGCAATTCCCTTTTGGAGTGAATGTTTTCTAAAAAAAAATTAAAAATATGTTTGTCTCCAGTGTGTTTTTTTTTCATGAAAGTTACAAGATTTTTTTTGTGTAAAAGTTTTGTCACAGAATCTACACTTGTAAGGTTTCTCTCCTGTGTGAATTCTCTCATGACATATGCAAGATTTTTTGTCTATAAAAAATTTGTCACAGAATCTGCACTTGTAAGGTCTCTCTCCTGTGTGAATTCTTTCATGCTTTATGCAAGAAGTTTTGTCTTTATAAGTTTTGTCACAGAATCTGCACTTGTAAGGTTTCTCTCCTGTGTGAATTCTTTCATGCTTTATGCAAGAAGTTTTGTCTTTATAAGTTTTGTCACAGAATCTGCACTTGTAAGGTTTCTCTCCTGTGTGAATTCTCTCATGAGATATGCAATGTGTTTTGTCTTTATAAGTTTTGTCACAGAATCCACACTTGTAAGGTCTCTCTCCAGTATGAATTCTTTCATGCACAGTGCATGGGCCTTTTTGAGTAAAAGTTTTGTCACAGAATCTACACTTGTAAGGTTTCTCTCCTGTGTGAATTCTTTCATGCTTTTTGCAAGACGTTTTGTCTTTATAAGTTTCATCACAGAATCTACACTTGTAAGGTTTGTCTCCGGTATGAATTCTTTCATGACGTATGCAAGAAAAACTGTCGGTAAAAGTTTTGTCACAGAATCTACACTTGTAAGGTCTCTCTCCTGTGTGAATTCTCTCATGACGTATGCAAACAGCATTGTCTGTAAAAGCTTTGTCACAGAATCTGCACTTGTAAGGTTTGTCTCCAGTATGAATTCTTTCATGCACAGTGCAACGGCCTTTTTGAGTAAAAGTTTTGTCACAGAATCTACACTTGTATGGTCTCTCTATTGAGCACATTTTTACTGAATGGTTTAAGAACTTACTTGGTGGTATAAAAGTCTTGCTACAGAATCTGCTCTTGTAAGGTTTCTCTCCAGTATAATTATTTTCTTGAATTTCATGAGATGATTAATTGCTGAGAGATTCTTGTCACAAGTAACATAGAGTTCCATTTCCAAAGCTTCTTATCACATCTTATCACAGGCGATGACACAGGCACGGCGATGCAGGGACCATTCGCTGTCACCTGAAACGAGACACAATGGAAAATAAACTTTCTTCATTAAAATAAAGTTTCATCGTCACCTTTTTTTTCATACTTAAACCTCCCCTCAGTTGTATCGTTCAACATACATATCATTTACACAAATATAATTCCGAGACATGTAAATTAATTTGATTAGAGTCGATTGCTTGTGCACTCTACTCGTATTATGGCCTTACCTGTAGTTATGTAACTTCAGTGGACGTGTGCAATTTGAATAATTAAAATTAGTATGTACCGCCAAATAATGCAGCACAGAATCCACCTTGTGATAAGAAATATGTATAAAAGACGTCTAGAATTAAGATTGTGGGTCAGACTGAAGAAGACTCGAAGGTGACCGCTCGACGGAGCCATGGGAGACGGCCTAGAGCTTGGAGATTTCACGTAGAACATGTAGTTAGAGATCGTCAACTAATAAACCATTAAACTGGTCATTAGGTGGACTTGGGTTTTCTTTGTGCGACCTTACGTAAATCTGACACGAATCGTGGAATCTTAGGATCGCGTTATCCACTAAGTAAGTCTAAATGATTTGTCCTATTTCGAGCCCACGCTTGAATTAAGCATACAAAATTATATAAGTTTAGGACATTCATCTCATATGTATATGTAAAGGTACATAACATCCTGTCAGCCATTGTTACTCTACTGTCTTACATTTTGCTTTAAAAGCCAGTCAGTCACTTGGATAAGGTGCCAATACTTATCGAGGCTTAATATGTCCTTTCCAATACTGAAATTGTCTGCACAATTCAACTCTCAGAGCACCATAAGAATATCCATTTGGATTCTGTATGAACTTGTTGTTAACATTACCAATGCACCTAGTTTTTATACTGAGCAATGCATAAAGTTTTTATTGGGAACCCCCTGTTTAAAATCTTGAATCCAGTCATTTTATTGGACAATGTTAACTGCTGGTTACAGTGGACGTATCTGATTGGTTGAAGTGATTTCTCTCCAATACTTCAGATGCCATAATTTAAAGATGTTATCTGCACAACCCACTGCATATAATTATCTGTTATTACTTCACTAAACATTGGTAAACATGTAACATGACACCATCAAGCTAACATCTAGCTAGTTAAAAGACAAGGAGTGATTTTATCAGTTAGTTTGTATTTGTCACACATGCCAGGCTGTTTCTGTACATGATGTGATAAGTCATTCAATTCAATTTATGAAACTCTTCAGCAACCAGCAGTTTCAAAAGTGGGTTCTTTTTCTGAAAAATTTACCTTTTAATATGCAATCTTCGTGTACTTAGATAAGATTTTGCTCAGAGGAAACATTTTCCCAGCAAAAAGGGACCCCCACATCCCCTGGCTACTGGGCCTGTTTAGGTTAAGAAATTTATAAAAAATTTATTTCAGTTATAGGTATTAAAACTTTATTCATTAACTCCACCAAGGTATGTTACTTTCAACAAGGCAGCAAAGCTGTCAAATGTACAGACAAAAAGAAGGAAAAAACAAAATAGGGTACAGTCAATTCTGATGCAAAAGTACATTATGTTAAACTGCAAATTCAACATCAAATTTTAATTATGCTCAACAGGTAATTCCAATGTAAGTAAAATGTGTAACAAGCATAAGGCTTCAGCCCCATAGGAGTTCAAGTTCACACTCTGAAAATGTATAACTTCCAGAAAAAGAAGTCAATTAGACTGCTTTTCCAACTCAGGCTGCATTTTAGTCCTGTATTTCTTTTTTGAAAGTTTGGCAATCATAAGTAACATGGTTTTCCCATAATGGTTTTCATGGCAGCAGCACCCAAAATTGTG